CTTTTTTCCCCAACGGATTCAGATTTCTGACCTTCAAAATAAAGCGGGTACCCGCTATCTGGGAAATACCCGCTATCACGAGAGCTATCCAAAGTTCGGACCCCTTAATGTTAATCTTACTTTCTGCGTATTTCGCCATATCTCGCAAAACTTTTAATCGAATTGAAAAATGATTGCATACAATTGTGAAATTCATTTATAGAAAGATAATTCCATGGAAAAAATGAATTATAATTAATATTAACTATTTTTTATTATTTTATGTAATAACAGTAGACATTTTTTTTAATTGTAAGGTATATAATGTCTTACGTCATTTTAAAATGTTTAATTTTACATGGTAAAATACAAAATGTGAGCTAAATCGGTTATATAGTTCCTGAGAAATCGAATTTTAAAAATTTAGTGGGAGACATTGCGAACAGAAATGGTTAGAGGAAAAGAGTACAACACGGTGTCTACAATTTCAGTTATTATTCAGATATTTTAAGGCAAGCCTGTCCTCACAGATTGATTGAAAGAGCTTTCTTGGTTTTATTACATCTATTGTATTAAATCAAATAATAATTGTAAAGTGGCAAAGAAAATGTATTAAAAACAAAACTTGTCAATATTATTCACGAATAATTAAGAAAAAATTACTATATAGATATTTTTTTATTTATTTGTTGTGTTGAATTATGAGTTGATTCACATAGTTTTAACTTGTTCCAAAATTTGAAAGCTTATTTGACATTTGACAGACAGATATTTTTACCTTAAAATTTATTAGTATGGACTGTAAAACTAAACCTGTTTGGTAAAAAAAATAATAATACTGCTAGTATCAGTATGTGCTTATACAAGGTGTTTTGTAAAAGCAAATACTAACCATTATATGCACCATTAATATTTTTTTCCAATGCCCGCCTGGGGAATTATCTACGTCATACAGGCATCTGAGGAGCAGATTTGTTGGTCACTTTTCCAGGAACACCGTAATAGGTGCTTTAACGTTGCCCCCATAGTAAGGACAGATAGCACAGAGAATGAAAGAACATCCATGCCTTGACCGGGATTCGAACCAAGAACCTTTCTGATGTAAGGGCAGTTCCCTGATCCCTACACAGGCCGGTCGGCCTTACCATTAACATAAACTTTTAGAATCTTTGTCAAGAAATCGGTTAAAAAAGATACAGCAAAGGATAAGCAATCGCAAAGCAATAGTAAAGCAAGAAAAAAACACTGTCTAAATTTTAAAAATCACTGCTGAGGAAGTCACGTGTACAAACATCAAAGCCAGTATGACTAATGGTTGAAACTTAAAAGTGTTTCGAATAAAAGTCTCGTAATTCTGCTTTGCAATTAAATAGTCTGTGATGTTTTGTGCGCTTGCCTTCCTCAGTAGTGATTTGTTGATTTCAATTGGGTTCTCTATCTAACCTTAAAGATTAATTTTTTACCTACTTTATTGTCTTTGTTTTTGACAAGGTTACTATAAACATGTAATGAAGATGGCAGTTACGGAACACCGAGTATATACTGAAAATATCAAATCCAGTAAAATACGGAACACAAGAAAAAAAATCAGCTTAAAAAATGACTTTTCATAACAATAATGGAATTTTTAGGAATAAGCTGTAATTATTTGGCATAAATACTTTTAGAATATTCGAGCTTTTCATTAATTAAAGTTGAAAAAACTTCCTGAATCTCATCTGCTTATGCTTTTATCTCATCAATTTTTGAATAAATAAATGGCTAATTTTTAAAATTTAGCATTTTTAGTAAGTGAAACTGATAAAAATACCACGGCATACGTCCGTTATTAAGAAATAAAATGGCTTTAAAATAATAAAATTCCCTTTTACCCATAACTTACAAACTTCATTTTTAATCTGCAAAGCACTTGAGCTTTTTATTGGGCTTGAGCATCCATTATTCTACTTTCAACAACGCTAAGATAATCTAGACATTAGAAGATTCTCATTATCGATGCATTTTCCAGAAAAAGAAAAAAATACTTATCTCACGTTTCAATCTGCTGGGAAACTTTAGAAACGTGCAAAGTTTTCTTTATTTCTTCTAAGGCTTATTTTTAATTCAGAACAATAGTCAGAAGAGCGATATTTATTTATACTGAGATTACTGAACGTGGATCTCATAAAAGAATAAATAAAATCTTTTTTTAATAAAATAAAATTATTCGTTAAACTTTCAAAAATATGTAACGTAACAAAAGCCAATAACTTATTTATTTTTTAAATAAGATATTAAAAATGCTCCAGATTTTGAATATGATGAAACTGAATACTGTTCGGTATATGGATTTTAAAATGTTTCACTTTTTTCAATTAATTTAAAATCTCTAATAATAACTTATTTTATGCATCCCAGGAAATTCTGAAATAGGCAATATCAATATCAATATCAATATCAATATATATATATATATATATGTAAACTAAAAGTAATAAGTACACATAATTTGTCTGTATTTAAGAGTACCTACATATTTATTTAAGAAAATAAGACACAATNATATATATATATATATATATATATATATATATATATATACGATTTTAAATTTAATAGTATTTTTTTTTATAAAATGTATGTAAGGAAAGTAACTCCATTTTATTTAAAATTTCCATGCCTATGTCAGTTAATACTTCTGTTTATCATTTCTGCTAGCTTTTATAAATTTAATTTACTCAAAATACTTATGAAATTTTGCGCTTCTGAAAAGATTTTTTTCAATACTTAAGTTAAAGTTGTAAAGTTTTAATATGTCTCGAATAATTTGAAGAATATTTAAAAAGTATTGAAAGTTTCAGAATCCAGTAATTGTTTTAAATTCATTTTTAAATTTTAAAAGAAATAGTTTTTCTAAATTATGAAACACTGCGTTTAGTACCTATTATAGTTTTATATATACATGTTTTTTACTTTCAATTCATCCAGTCTTTAACCCTTTGACCCAGAAAGGACACCATTGTCCCTTATATACACACTGTTAAACAAGTGCTAAGGAACAACTGATTTATGCAAAGTAACAGTCGCAACAGCCCACCAATAACCATAAAATCAAGCGCAGGACCCGTAAACTATATGAAGGGCAGTGTATACAAGCCCATCATTCATTTGAGAACTCATGCCGTTAGGTGTTTAACCAATATAGCACCATAGGTTGTTGCACTTATTTCTGTCAAATTGAAGGTGGTGTTACAATAATTAAATGCAAAATATCAGCAAGACTTGATTTGAGAGCTTACGATAGTGGACAAGCAATTGGACGTCTGGAAGCAGGTTAAAATGTCACCAATGTGGCCACAGTAATGTCAGTGTCTAAAAGTGTAATCTCGTGATTAAAAAAGACCGGTGAACCTGGAAATGCTATGCCCTATACTAGTGGTCGTGTTAAGAACACAACACCACAAGAGGATCGATGTGTATCCCTAAATGCAAGAAGGAACAGAAATGTCACTCCTAATTTAGATAGCTGCAGATCTTACAACCAATACCGGTACACAGGTTTCTGACAGAGCAAACTCACGGCGATTCAATCAAGTTGGCTTATATGCACAGAAGCCTGTTCGATGCATCTCGCTTCAACCATTACATCGTTGAGAAAGATTACGCTGGTTTGAGGAATCGTATTGGTTGGGGTCACCAACAATGGCCGAGAGTAATATTCTCCGACGACGAATCCAGTTTCACTGTGAAAAGGGATTCTGGCCACCAGTACGTGTGGAGAGGAGACGGAGAGAGTGTTACATTATACACAATAGTATGCTCATGAACGTGATTGGTGTGACCCATGCGTACTGGTGTGGGCAGGCATCATGCACTATGGCAGAAAACAGCTTCACACTTTTGAGCGAGGTAGTGCTACATCCCAGCGGTATTGAAGAGCGATGATTCTGGATCATTTTCGTCATCTTAGGGGTGTGGTAGGTCCAGGATGTCAGTTTATAAGCAACAATGCGCGGACACATAGGAGAGCTGAGGTAAGAGACACACTATAAATTGATGGTACTGACCATATGCTATGGCCTGCGTACTCCCCCGACCAGCATCTTATAGGATCTATCTGGGATGCTCTTGGAAGGCGTGCTTCACAAAAACTACTGCCTCTCTGAACTGTGTATGAATTGATAACTGCATTGAGAGGGGAATTAGACGATATCATTTAAGGACAACCCAATAATTTAGTGGATAGCATAAATACATGCATTAGAGTGCATTAGTGTCCAAGGTCATACATCATACTTAAATATTCATACCTGTTTTCTGACAAGAAGACCCATTATTTGTGACTGTTTAGAAGCCGACTAAGAAGCATATTTTCAAATTTAATGTTCTTTATTTTCGATGTGATAATATTTGTGCCATTTTGCATAATAATAAATGCCCATTGTCTACTCTAAATATTTACTTAGTTTTATTTCTTCAATCAATGACTATTATTAATTGTTCTGAAAAACTTCAGTTCCTCAGCAATTGTAAAGCAGTGTATATATATTTTCAGATGCTCTACTTACAAGCAAAAATATATTTTGATACATTTTAACTATAAAAAACAGTCTAATAGTAAATAAAAAATATGATTGATTATCGGGATTATATTTGTACTAAAATATAAAATCCAAAAATAGTAGTTTGAAAAACAATTCATTCATATTCAAAAATTTATTAATAATTAATTTCGTAAATTCTAGATCTAAATAACTGCAAATTTGAAAAGTTATTGTGTTGAAGTGGGCCATGTTTGAAGACCTTTACGCCTTTTTTTAAAAAAAGACACCAATGTTTCATGCTGTATTTCATAACCATAAATTATTGAAATGCAAAATATAATAGTTTTCAGTAATTATGAGCTAAATTAATGCAGAATAATAAACAAAGTATGAAAAATATCATTTATATAAATTCTGCATCAAGGAGTTAAGCTCATTTCCAAAATATGAATATAACAGTAAATAAAATATACAAAACAAAATATTAGAATTAATTACCTGTGATTAGTGTAGCAAATATAATACAAACAAGTGTGACAATACATCCCAGAGTTGAAAACCATGTAAATGATATTTTGTACAAAAAGAATATGTCACTGCAAAATACAAAGAAAAAAATATGCTCAATATTAAGCTACAAAAATGCAAAGTAAAGCTGCAACAGGAATATATATGCAACGCACTAGCATTGATTAAGTCAGAAATTTATTTCCTATAATAAATATTTACGTTTATGTTAATGATCTTTTTTAAGTTTAAAAAATATTACGATATATTTAAAGCTAATTGTAAAGTAGAAACAGTAGCGTTGTACAGTAAAAATAATGTGTTAGATGTATAGTTCCACATCTGCCATTTTTTTTATAATTCGGTGAACAATTTTTTTAAAGAAATCAAACTATTCTTTAATTACAGTAGTTCCCAGAAGATGCTCCGCAGAAGCCTAGTTGGAACTTTTTCTTTTTGAACTAAGAAGAGAAACTTTTTTTTAACTAGCTACTTTGAAGAATTTTGCAACCTGTAATTAGAATTTGATCTGATAAATAGTTAATTATTTATTTAGTATTATGGTTATTTTTATGAATATTTTTAGTAAAATACCGACGAAGAATGAAATAGCAAAATTTAATAATATAAATATGTATATATTTTTCTAATTCCAATGTATTATATGAAGAATAAATAAGATAAACATTTATAGAATTTTGCATTAACATTTCCCGTCGAACATTTCAATTCACAATAAAATAAATCAGAAAAAAAGGAAAATTGATTCTCTTAGGATCTTTCTCATTATAAGTTATAATTTTTTCAACTGTAGACTGTAATAATTTACGTTTCATGCTTCATTTTTTTATTGGTTTTCATTTCAAAGAAACCTTAACTCAGCTTTTTTTAATGTTATTTTCAACATATCTATTTAATATTATTTTCAGCTTATTATCAATTTAACATTATTTTCTGTTTATTATTCATTTAATATTATTTTCAGACTATTCATTTAGCATTATTTTCAGCTTATTATTCATTTAACATCAATCTCAGCTTATTAACTAGCCAATATTATTTTCATTTCATGTATAAGCCAAATTTACAACTAAACAAGATATGGCTCCAAGCCCCAACTGCCAGACATCAATCATAATTTCAAGACTATTAAAATGATGAAAAATTTCATGAAAAATAATTACTAGTCTTATTAGTTAATATTTTTACAAGTGCTAATTGTTTTTACAAGTGTTTTATTGTGAAGTCGGATGTTAAGTCAAATGACCGACGATGACCTAGGGTTCCATAGCCAAAAAAAAATTGGGAACCGCTGTTTTAATTTAATTTTATTTCATAACCGTCGTTGAACAGGTGACCAGATTTTGAGTTTACTTCTACCAATGTTCAATTCCGTAGCCTTGTATATTTTAATCCTATCCAGAAGACAATGGAACTGCAGGATTGAGGGAATATCTGCATTCCCGGTGAAATGTTTGATCGAACTAACCTGCATTACATGGAGACTCTAATCCATGATCTCCACCATGGAGGATATTTTATGACAGCAATGTGGTCGGTGGGAGCTGGGTGTGGAATTCGTATCGACCAGCCATAGCTGGAATTCGAACCCAATTCACATCATTGGAAATCGAACGCTCTATCCCCTAAGCATTCTACACCTCTCGCTGTTTTAATAGATGATTTTGGTCTCGAAAAACTCTTTAAAATTACCACGTAATTAATAACTAAAAAATGTATAAAATAATCTTGAAAATGAAGCCGAGAATCTAAAAAGTGCTCACAAAATTTTAATATTTTTTAATCACATAAATGATTTTACTATTTGTTTTTTATACCCTTATGAAGTATACTGGCGTAACACTTTGTACAGGTTATATAAGTATAATTTTTTTAGCATTTTATACAAGTACTTGATCTTATCTAATTCAGGTGTGAAATCTAGAATTAATTTTTTGTTCAAAAAGCTAAAGATTTGCTTTCAAAATGATATTTTTTGTTCAATTTATTTCTATTCTGAATGTACAAGTTTATAAAGAACCTAGAGGTTTATATGCATACTTATACACTTGTTTGCTCTTTTGAAAATAACACTTAAGACCTTAACGTATTGCATCGTAAACTGCAATGTATTACCGCCTTTTTCTTTTCAACTGCTACCTAATTGAGCAGAGGTTTTACTTAGTATTCACTAGGTTGAATTCAAAAAAGTCCTGGCTAGGAATATATTATTTACATTGCATAAAAAAACGATAGTTTGTATGGCGAGAAATAAATTACAAATGTTGAAAACAGAGATGCGAAAATATTTAAGATTCACAAAAGAATCTTATGCAATAAAAAACAAAAGAAATTTTGTTCATCAGTAACCAGTAACCAACCCCTCTTAAAAGATGGCAACTATGTAATTCGTAGTTTGTAGCAATAAATACTCAAAGTTTGGTTAAGTAAAAGAGATTAAAGGAATAGTTTACGAACCTATTCATATCATTAACACTCAATGATATACTTTCATTTCTTACTGCATCTTCAATAGTAAAACCTCCACTTATTGCAGAGGAAATGTTATTACAACCATCAGATCTTAGAGGAAGCGAAGGAAAAACATAACCACTGTATACAGATCCGTAACCTATCCAACAGGAAAATGCTACGCCAATAACTAGACCAAATATGATACACTAAAAACAAAAGAGATATTTTTAAATATATCTTACATGCATTTAAAAATTGCAAGTTATATTAAGTATTGTATAATTCTGTTAGTAATATTTTTCTTAAAATTAACCAGCTCAAATAAAACTTTTCTTTTCTAAGAAAACTGTTTAATAAACTGTAAAAATGCATCCTAATAATAATGAAGATATGATTGAATTTCAGATAATGATAAGTATTAGCTACCAACAACAACCAATGACTTGATCAAATATTATACTAAAAAACCTAGAGGAAATTGTTTAGAAATTTAGTATTAGAAATAAGTGATTAATATATACAAATTTAATAAAAATTTGCTTTGCAAAGAAAGCACCATTTACTAATTTTCAGAAATCTTCACTTTATAAGGTGCTTGCTTAAATCGTACTATTTTCACATTTAATTTGTGATTAGTCTCAAATAACTCATTTGCAAGATTTAATAATAAAACGTACTTATTCAGCTTTTTATATCATTTTTCAGTAATAATATTTGCGCAGAGAGTATTGAAATTTAATTGCTTTCGCAAAGTCTGTAAGCTGTACAATTTAAGAAACCTGGTACCTAATTCGTACCACCCTCAAAACTATTAAGAGCAATTTATAATGACGTTTACTTATAATGATGTAATTATTATATCACTTTATAATGACGTTTACTTATAATGATGTATAATTGTATTTATATTTAAACAAATAATTAGACCATAACTAACCCAAAAATTTTTTTTAAAAGCATATTGAGAAATGCGACACAAAAGTTTCAAGCTCTCTCTCTCTTTTACAATTATAACAACAGTATTATATTAAATGAATAATTAGACCATAATTAATCCAAAACAATTATTTAAAGGCACATTGAGAAATGCGACACAAAATTTTCAAGCTATCTCTTTTACAATTATATTATATTAAATGCTTACAATTACATTATATTATAGTGTACAATTAAATTATATTATATTAAATTGCAACAGTATTTCATTAAATGAATAATTAAACCATAACTAACCCAAAACAATTATTTAAAAGCATATTGAGAAATGCGATACAAAATTTTCAAGCTCTCTCTTTTACAATTATAACAACAGTATTGTATTAAATAAATAATTGTAGACCATTACTAACCCAAAACAATTATTTAAAAGCATATTGAGAAATGTGACACACAATTTTCAAGCTTTTACAGTTATAACAACAGTATTATAAGCCTATAAAATGTTAAAGGAATCTGATGTTGCGTGCTGAAAAGTTAAAAGTAAGAAAACTTTTTAAAAAAATCATTTTTTTTCATAACCAGTTTTTATTTTTTTCTTTAGTTTTAGAAATGGAGGAATCGGTATGATTGAAATTATCAATATAAAACGTACTGGAACAGATTGGTTTATCATATCATATTACTAACTGATAATTACTTGATCAACATTTGACTAACCAAAAAACTTATCACTTATCAAACTTTTTCCTTCCTCGGTATAAAAAAAAGAATCAAAAGAATATTAAATCGAGTTAAATTTAATAAAATAGTTTCGTTTCTTACCGATTGATTCACATATTCCGCTGTAAAAAATTCAGTTTCATTTAAAATTGATGCATCAGAATCGTCAATTCCTTTTAAACATTGTTCTCAGTTGCTGTCTTATTATAAGCCTCACTCACGAGATGAGAAATTTGCTAATGGGCGAAATTGAATTCAGAAGTAGTTCTAAGCAGCTTTCGAGAGTTTGGAAGTTGTAAAAGGCTTAAAACTCAATCTGATTTGTTGTTGCAGTTTATACGTTGCTCTTAAATCGTGCCGGTACGATATAAGAATGCACACAAAGTACGATTTAGGTAATTACGCAACGTTTTAAACAAATTCTTATTCCAAGCCTCAAACAATAGTTAGCTAACAAAGAATCGAATAGAGCAAAACAGAATAAGTTGCCTGATAATCATACGATGTATTAATTAATCCGTACATTACTGTAGATCTGCTATATCTTTTTATAGCATGTCGAAAACTGTTACAATGAAAATTTGTGAAACTTATTAACTTAAATACAGCAATTTGATTCCTCTGCACGGATCTCTATATGAAACAAGCTGCACAATTTATCCATTAGAGCGTTTTTATACACTATTTCTTAAAAAATCAGAGGTGATATGATTTAATAAACTTTTCTCTAATTATGAAGATTTGGTTGGTATGGGGAAAGTCCTTATATTCCAAAATGGCATAATTTCTCGCATTAGCAATCGACATGTTTATGCCTTTACATCACAGAATAAATTCCTTTTTTTTACAAGCGCTGCACGTTCGCATTGAAAAAATCGTATCGTTTCTCGACAAAAATATAACTATTTTACAGGTAAATTGCGTAAAATATTTATTTCATATTCTATAAAACTAAGAAATGGAAACACAAAATTTAATTCAAAGAATGCATTATAAAATTATAATTTTTATTTTATTTATTCATGTGTTTTAAAAAAGTTTAACCCGTAAGATAGGAACTTAACTGCTTGTAAACTTATTATAAGGAAGTGGGAAGAATACTTTTATATAAATATTTAAGTATTGATAGGATATAGGATATATCGATTTCCTGCCTATGATATGTTACCTACATCTCTTATTCACTACAGATAATGAAAACTAAATAATGAAAGACTTTGATTAGAATAAGATGGTTAATGGTTAGTATAAGTTCAAACGAAGAAGCCAACAGTAAAAAGCCATTTCCTCTGTTATGCGTACGTGGGTTATTGCGTAGTTTATGTGTTTTATTTGCTCACTTTTCATCGAGTTTATTTGTAGCTATTAACACAGAATTTAAACATTCGGTTATTTATCATCACAGAAGTTCAAGTTTAGACAAATTCTTCACCGAAGGCAAAATTTTGAATACCCCACACACCTATCTTCAAAAATTGGTTTTAAAAGTCAAATTAATTTTAGGTAAATAATAAGTTAATAAGTTTCTTTTTATAACGCTATTTCAATATTTAAAAAAAATTGACACTACTAAACATTTTATTTTGTTTACGTGAAATGTTCACAATGAATCTTTCACATTTAATTGGATTTCAATATTATCTCGAAAAAGAGTTAACATTTAAATTTCTTCAGAATAAAAATATTAAAACAAATTAGTATAGTCCCGCAGTGGACTGATAGTTAAGACGCGGTTCCCAGCAGATCACCGAAGTCAAGCATCACTGGCTGCGGTCAGTGTGCGGGTGGGTGACCACTTGGATCAGTCTGCGTAGGGACCGAGGGTGTGCGGTATTGGTCCTCGTTAAACTGTGCTACCGTAAAGTGCTCGACTTCGCGCGCAGGTCGTCGGGCTACCGAAGCGGGGGTGCCATCCCCTCCGCAGAGGATCAAAATTGTGATGGCATGTCTTCGGATCATCCTCCGGGATGTTTCCCAGACCGTCGCCAATAGCCCATTGTGCAGCTCTAGTGCGACGTAAATGAACTACAACAACAGCAAATTAGCATAAAAAGTATCATAAAACAGAACTAATACAAACGCAGATAAAATTTGCCTGACTTGTTTTTACTGAGTCAAAATCCATTATGACGATAATACCACTTTTCACAATATTTATACGACATGTCACAATATTTTTGTTGCTGTTGTTGTTGTTAATTTGCGTCGCATTAGAGCTGCACGATGAGCTATTGCCGACGGTCTGGGAAGCATCCCGGAGGATGATCCGAAGACAAAAATATTTTTAAAATCACTTTCTAATAAGAGTAATATTCAAGTATAATAGTGTGAAGAAAATAAAATTACAGTGACTCGTTATAAAATAAACTTATACATTTTGTTTGCCACTTTGAAAGCAGAAGATGTTTGTTGTACTAAATAACGCTGACGGTTTTCAGAAATTTATAGCAATAAAATGATTAAGGTTAAGGAAAATAAGCTGCAAAATTATGCGACAGGAAACAATTTTTCCTCCTTATGAACCTAGTTTCAGTTCAAAATGTTTCCAGCAGATGGCGCTGTAGATTCTTAAAATCTAAATCAAAGATTTACGAATTTCAAATCTTTCAATTTGGAATAGTTTAATGAATGAAAATCAGATTATAAAATGTCTGACGCGTTACATCAGACGTCAATGAAACAAAGCAAAAAAAAAGTGTCACACGAACCCTCGAACCTGCTTTCATATAATCAATACTCCAAGCCACTATCATAAACTCTCATATTACACAAAAATCACCAAGCACATGCATCAAAACTCAAATTAAGAAACGATCAAATGATATTTGCAACGCTATTAGTCGAAAAAATTTTAAACTAAAACCAGGAATTCTTGGAGGAGCGTAATGAACCGTCACATGCACAAATTTACTGTAAAAATTTTTTTTTTCAAATCTAAACTGTTGTTTAGTTATTAATTTGTATAAACTTATGTACGTAAACTGCTGACCGGCCTATGTAGGGGTTAAGGAACTGTCCTTGCATCAGAAAGATTCTGGGTTTGAATCCCGGGCAAGGAATGGATGTTCTTTCCTTCCCTGTACAATCTGTCCTTACTGTGGAAGCAACGTTGGCCCACCTAATATGGTGCCCCTGAAAGAGTGGCCAACAAATCTGCACTTCAGGTGCCTGTATGACCTAGGTCATTCTCCAAGTGGGCATTGGGGAAAATAAAAGAAAGAAAAGATACATAAACTTATGAAAAAAATCGAAATGTATCGCCTTCAAGGACAAACTTCATGTTCCATATTAATGTAATAAACTCTTATAATATTTAAGTATTAATTTTAAAGAGTATAAAAAATAACCAGGTTTGAATTTCAAGCCGGGTAGGATACTTTTTCAGATGATCTTCGAGTCAATACTGCTATCAAGTATACTGCCAGTACTGGTCCTTCAGTGACACTCATTAGTACAGTTGTAATTTGCATGAGACTGTCTGCCGCAGTGAAAGAGAACGCTATCAAAATGCAAAGTACTCCATACAATACAGCTGAAAAATAATAAGTCTAATTTATATTGTGTACGTTGTACAATCTTAAATAAATGTGTTCTAGTTCTTGACACTAAAAACCCTTCACATTTGGTAATAATTCAGATACATTTTTGATGGATCTTCTAAACTAAACTCAGAGGCACGACAGCCCATAGAGGGCCAAGGCCTACTGTGCCCATCTCAGTTTTCTTGACCTTGGGCTCTGGGGTGCAGGAGCAGATGTTCCGGTCAGGTGGTGAACCGAACGTGGAACCCCCTGTGCTTAGTTCCCAATCACGCTTGGTACTCACTTATCGACCCACTGAAAGGATGAAGGGCTGAGTCTACCTTGCCCGGCCCGATGATCGAACCCAGGACCTGTGACACGGGAGGGCGAAGCGCTACCAATCAGCCACCGGGCATCGATGGAACTTCTACATTTTATTAATTCCATTGTCTTGAAGGAAATATTTTTTTATGTGAATTGTTGTGAACTACCTTTTTCATCAAAATTTTCACGTTTATTTAGTTATAAGCAATTTTTTTAAGGGGAGTCGGTAGAGCATATACCAATAATGCTAAAACTGACCTTTTTCTATGTACCTTTTCTCAGCACTTAAACAAGATATTGCATCTTTTTTTCCACTGAATATTTACGTACAGATGTTTACACTGTAATAACTGTTAATATATATCTTTGAAAGAATTCTTTTACTAAAATTATAAACTGAAAACTTTTAATCTCTTAGAAAAGTTAAAAATTTTTGAGCAAAAATCTCTCATAACTCAAAAAGTATTCCTGTTGACGCTGAAACATCATCACAGCATACAACTGTGAAATTTTTTGGGGTATAATCTCAAATATTCCCAAAAAAATTTCAAATCAATATCATAAATAGTTTCTTAGGAAAAATGTATCGAAAAAGGTCAGTTTTAGTAATATTGATATATGAAAAAATTGTTAGTTATATTAATTGATGCAAAATTCTATTTTTTTCCTTCTTTTTTTTGCAAAAAAAATGGATTAGAACCTAGCACAAAAAAATTTAACTTAAATTTAAAAATAAATATAAATAACACGTTACTTCGAAACGAAAAAAAATTAAGTTAACCCTTATTTATTTTAAAAAAAGTTTTGATATGAAGGAATTAATCAATTTCAGATTTTTTTTCCTTTAAAAAAACGTGTTTTAATCTACAACCCTATTTTTTACATTTTAATTTAACGTTTAACCAAAATAATAAAACATATAAATGTTACAATATCACGAACACATATATATTTTTTTTTACAATTTTAGCAGTGCAAAGAATTTTACAAACTTTCGAACGAAAAAAATAAGACCTTCAAGAACGGATTAAGGTAAATATGTTTTAAAACCACAAAAGGAATATTTTTTTACGATCTCATTAAAATTCTCAATGGGAAAGAGATTAAGATTTCTGTATTTTTGTCCTTCAAAGGTTTGTTTTAATTTTGCGCAAAAAATTTGTCTTCATGGAAATGTTTAGTAAATGATAAGTGAACAAAACCGTAATTAATTTTTATTCAATTCGTTAACATTATGGATTAAAGATTTTGTTACGAACAAAAATGAATTTATTATTTATGAAACAAGATATTAATTAAACGACAAAATGCCTCATAATTTCTTAAAACTAATTACTTGTTTAAGAGTTAATTATAATTTTCTTCTTAAGCTGAAATATTTAAATTACTTACTTAATAATATGCATAAACAATCATCATATATTAAACAAATAATCCCAAAAAAATTTAAGCTGTAAGATATTATTTGATTAAAAACTTCATTCGTTTCAAAAATATACGAATTGGAGATACAGTCGAACAATAATAAGTCGAATAACTAAAAATAGGCATGGCACTCAAATAGGCATAAAGCACTCAAAAATAGGCATGGAATTTTAAGATAGGCGATTTTCACCTTCAAAATAGGCAACCGTTCACGTCTGGCAAATCTTGAAAATGGGCACTTATTTTTGGGCGCTTGAAAAATATCGACTATTATTTCTAATTTGCATATTTTTGAAGCAAATGAAGTTTTTAATCAAGTAAATAATTTAAGTATTTTAATCTTATGTATGCAGTAATTCAGCAAACCTTAGAAATGTCTTACATATTCCTTTCGCAATAAGAACTGCTTTTGAATCAGTCAACCATGTAGAATACGACAGAGGCTTTATGAAATCTATCACTGTCACTGTTGATAAGGAATTGAGTGCCGACGATATTGTGCTGAGAGAACCACTAAATATTCCGGCAATACAAATGCCCGTTAATCCAGGAATAGAACTTAATCGTGAAACAATGTAGAATGGAACTACCTACAAAATAAAAACAAACTTTTTGATCATCTAAAATATTTCAAAATTATACTTCGGAAAAAAAAAAAGAATTCGGAAAAAAAATAAAGTATATAAATGCAGCAACAAAATGCTGGTCTGAATACGCTATGAAATTTTCTTTCTGATATTATTACCTACAAAATAAAAACAAACTTTTCGATGATCTAAAATATTTCAAAATCATACTTCTGAAAAAAAAAAGAATTCGGAAAAAAATAAAGTATATAAATGCAGCAACAAAATGCTGGTCTGAATACGCTATGAAATTTTCTTTCTTATATTATTACCTACAAAATAAAAACAAACTTTTTGATGATCTAAAATATTTCAAAATTATACTTCTGAAAAAAAAAATAAAGAATTCGGGAAAAAAATAAAGTATATAAATGCAGTAACAGAATGCTGGTCTGAATACTCTATGAAAGTTTCTTTCTTATATTACTACCTACAATATAAAAACAAACTTTTTGATGATCTAAAATATTTCAAAATTATTCTTCTGAAAAAAATAAAGAATTCGGAAAAAAATAAAGTATATAAATGCAACAACAAAATGCTGGTCTGAACACGCTATGAAAGTTTCTTTCTTATATTATTACCTACAAAATAAAAACAAACTTTTCGATGATCTAAAATATTTCAAAATTATACTTCGGAAAAAAAATTAGGAATTCGAAAAAAAAAATGATGTATATAAATGCAGCAAAATGCTTTTCTGAAAACGCTATGAAAGCTTCTTTCTTATATAAATGGAATACAATAAAGAGTGTATATATCGCTCATGCGCTGCAACAGTGGCACAACTCCAAAAACGCGCGTTTTGGACTAAGAACAAGTTTAAATATGAAAATACACATTCTTTTCAGCAGCAATAATAACACAACTCATAATTCAACTTGAAGGTAATTTTCATTTAAGCAAACTAATGCATTTCTTATGCATTTTCCTTAGCAATGAAAACTTTAAGCCCACTTATCTCAAAACATGATTTTTTTGAGTTGTACCGATATTGCAGCCCATGAGCGATATATTCTATTTTATAACCATCGTTGAACAGCTGACCCAATTTTTGGGGGTTTACGACTACTAATGTTCAACTCCGTAGTCTGGTCATTTTAAAACCAATCCAGAAGACAAGNCTCAGGGATGTTTCCCAGACCGTCGCCAATAGCCCATTGTGCAGCTCTAGTGAGACGTAAATTAACAGCAACAACTAAAATATGTCAAAATTATACTTCTGAAAAGAAAAAAAAGAATTCGGAAAAAAATAAAGTATATAAATGCAACAACAAAATGCTTTTCTGAATGCGCTATGAAAGTTTCTTTATTATATAAATGGAATACAATAAAGAGTGTATATATCGCTCATGCGCTGCAACAGTGCCACAACTCAAAAAACACGCGTTTTGGACTAAGAACAAGTGTAAGTATGAAAATACACATTCTTTTCAGCAGCAATAATAACGCAACTCATAATTCAACTTGAAGGTAATTTTCGTTTAAGCAAACTAATGCATTTCTTATGCATTTTCCTTAGCAATGAAAACTTTAAACCCACTTATCTCAAAACATGATTTTTTTGAGTTGTACCGATATTGCAGCCCATGAGCGATATATTCTATTTTATAACCATCGTTGAACAGCTGACCCAATTTTTGGGGATTTACGACTACTAATGTTTAACTCCGTAGCCTTGTAATTTTAAAACCAATCCAGAAGACAAGAGAAGTCTTGGATCAAATAGTGGGAAATATTCGCCTTTGTGGAGGACTTTTTGATGGAACTAACCGGTATTTGCGCTACGTGATGACTAAATCCACGAAAACCTTCCACGGTTAGCCTGACGGAGAGGGCACTCTAATCCATGATCCGTCTACCACTGATGATATTTTACGTCAGCACTGTGGTCGGTGCGAGCCGGAGGCGGAATCCGTATCGATCAGCAATAGCTGGGATACGAACCCGGTTCACCTCATTGGAAGGCGAACGCTCTATCCCCTGAGCCATCATGGCTCAATCATGTATATATAGATACTTCTATAAAAGAATAGACTGAATATATTAGAAAAGTTTCTTACGTATATAAATGAAATACGATAAAGCATGCATTGGGGCCGCTGAAAAAACTGGATGCATGAAAATTTCTTACACAATGGAATGCAACAAAAGTTGCATTAACAAGGTACTGCTACAAAAAAAATTCGATCGAAAATATTAATTTCTGTCACATGGAATGCAATAAAGCATAAATACACAAATGCTGCTACAAAAAAAGAAAAAAAACTGCGATATATTTATGAAAGTTTCTTTCATATATAAATGGAAAGCAATTTGATTTCAAAACTTTTTATTGAAACGTTGCTGCTCAAGTTTTCAAACCTGGAAACCCTTAAAAATTCTTTATATCAAATCTTTATTAACTATCAGGAAACTTAATAATGTATCAAAGTGTTATCAAATATCAGGAATCTTACAACAATGAAATTCTTTGGGAAAATAAAGCTATAAAGGAAATTTCAATTATAAACAATTTTACTTAGAAGACAAAATGACTCTACTACAAAAATATTATCTATCCTTTATTTAACATAACCGCGCCATCAAGTAAAACATTTAAGTATTATAAACTAAGTATAATTCAAAAGAATGCGTCACATTAATAAACCTGGCAGATAATAATCATTTTAACATTAATTTAGACTTATCTAAAACCAACAATTTCTAGTCACAAAAAAAAGACGTTTAAAAAATCAGATAAAAGTACCTTTTCCCTGACAACACTGTGATGTATGTGACGACTCTGCTTTATCCTGCTGTAAATTCAAATATCTGCTTTAAACGTCTTATCTTTATATCACAGTTCTTCAAACTTTTTAAAAGTGAAAAAAAAAATCTTTTTAAATTAATTTTGACCTTAACAAATGCTTAGATAAAAAAAAAGTGCTCCTGTTTTTAAAAAATCTAAAGTTAAGAGCCATTTCATTCAACTTAAAAAGAGTAACAAGTCTCGTTGTTTATTTTTTATGAAACACGAATTCATGTTTTATAAAAGTGGTATTTAAACTTTTTTTTGGCAACTTGTTTAAATTAAGAATCTCTTTTTTTCTAATGGCTTAAGCTTAAAAATGATTGGATTTTAATGCCTTAAAACGAATGGCGTCAGAACTATTACACTAAAAAAGTTAAAATTTTAAAGTTATTAGGAACAATGACTTTTCATCAAAGATGTAAAATAAATAAATAAATAATTGTGAGAGTTTGCTCATAATTTCTTACATTTATTTCACTTTTCTCCACTTAACAATATTCTTGTTACGACCGCGATCACGATCTAGGAAATATAGTTCCAATAATTCGGTCAGGAATCTGTCCAAAGTTAGAACCTTACAATTATAATTACTTTTTGTATATTTCTCCATATCTCGAGAGCTTTTAAAGAGATTCAAAAAAAAAAATTTGCAACCAATGATAAAATTCATCTATGACAATTAGTTTATTTAAGATGATTTCGTGCAATAATTTTTTTTAAAGATAATTTATAATTTTTTATTATGTTATGAATCAGTGATAAAAAAATAATTGAATTGCAAAATATACAAATTTTTTCATCATTTTAAAGAACGTAATTTTGTATTGCAAAATACAAAATTTGAGTGATATTAGTCGAATAGCTTCTGAGAAGTTGAATTCTAAAAAAGTAAGAAAATTAAAATTTGATTTTTCAGAAACTGTTCGAATTATTATTCAGAGAAAGGTTTTTGTGCTTCCCTCCTTTCAATTATCGTCTGCACGGATCAGCATATTTGACGTCACCCTCATGAACTTTTAAGACTGAGTCTTAGAACGTAAAAATCCCATCATTAGCATAAAAAGTATTTCAGAACGTTCCGTTTTTTACAGCACCATATATAGTTAAAAATTACAGCTTTCTTACTTGTTAAAATTCTCAAACGGTGATTTATTTTATTTATTTATTTCCTTAAGCAAAATAGATTCGGAAAACACTCTTACTTACGTGAAGAAAACATCTGCAAAAAATATTCTTAAACTTTTCTACTTGAGAAAAATTTTCTTATGAAATATTTTTTCTTAATACCATGCACATAGAACTATTTAGTATGTTATAAGTTTCCCAAAATTTGTATCGGTAAAAACTTTTAAATTACGTTAAAACGGAATTTATTTGTTATGTAAATGAAACATAAAGTTTGAAATCAAGTTTGAGTTTAAAAATGAAAATTTTAAACGTAATTTTCCAAGGATGATTTTAAAAAGTTTTGAAAATTAAACGCCAAAAACAATTTTGTTGAGTTCTGTGCAGAAAAAAGAAATTTTGTGCAAAGAATATTTTCCATAAACTATCCAGGACCAACGGTGGCTCAGTGGATGTAGAGCTTGTTCCTCGATGAGGTGAGCTAGGTTCGAATCCCAGCGAGGGCTGGTTGATATGTATCCGCACGCAGTTAGCACTGACCACAGTGCTGACAGAAAAGATTTTAGACGAAGCATGGAATATAATCCCCTTTCCGTCAAGCTAACTGCGGGAGGTTTTTGCGGTTTTTCTCCATGTAGCGCAAATGCAGGTTAGCTCTATCAAAAAGTAAACCACGAAGGTACGGTTATTCCAAAGTTATTTTAAGGGCCGGGATAGCCTGATTGGTAGGGCACTGGGTCCATGTCCAAGAGGTTGTGGGTTCGATCACCACCGGCAGAAGACTCCTGTGTGGTAAATGGTGACTGATGCACGTTAAATCTGTCAAGTCTCAAAATCTTTTATTTTCCCATAACAAATCATACCTCTGAGGGTACTGATCCAGGAGTTTCCTTGTCTTCTGGATTGGTTCAAAATTACAAAGCTACGGATTTGAACACTAGTAGTCGTGAACCCAAAATTAGGTCTTCTGTTCAGCGACGGTTATAAAATAAAATAAAATGTATGATCCAGGAGTCCCCTTGTCTTCTGGGTTTGGTTCAAAATTACAGTTGGGAGTTTAACATTGATAGTTGTAAACATAATAAAATACAATGAAATAAAATACTACGTAATAAAATGTCGACTGTTTAACGAAATAAAATACAATTAAATAAAAAATAAATTATGAAACTTTTCAAATGTTTTTTTTTATATATTTACCTGGTCATACTTTGTGATTCCAGTTTGATTTTTATTCAGAATAGGATCGCAAAAATAGAATATGCTATACAAAATCAATCCAAGAAAATAACAAAAGCAAAGAAGAATAGTAACAGGCACTATGCTCCAAACAAGTGATCTAGAGTAAATAAAAAATTTACTTTATGTTTTGAATTAATTACGATTTCATTTATTATTTATTTGTTACGAAAATTTCACCTCATGATCTCTATCACCTTGCTATTGGGCTCTCTTGTTGGAAAAACTCTTTAGAAGACCGTAGGAAATATACCTTCCACAAACTGCATTAATTTTTAAATGACTATGTAAAGCTGTTTTCAAATCTATGATTTCTTTGCCCATCTGATAATAACTTCAGAAAATACTAAAATACTAATGAAGGGATATATTTTCTGAAATGTGGGCAACAGTAAAGGTTGCGTGTGGTCAAGAAGATAAGTCAACACTGGAGTGCTCCTTTCTCATTGTGTAACCCATTCATTCCATCGGTTATTTCTTATTGAGTTTATTTGTAATTAAAGCAGAAATTATAAATTCGGTAACACAAAAGTTCAAATTTAAGGCAGGAGGGCTGGGATAGCATGGTTGGTAGGGCACTGGGCCCATGTCCAAGAGCTTGTGGGTTCGATCCCAGGCCTGCCAAAATCTCCCCGTGTAGTAAATGGTGACTGATGCACGTTAAGTCTGTCGATGCTCAAAGTCCTCCATGTCCCCATAACAAATCAATACCTCTGAGGGTACTGATCCAGGAGTTTCCTTGTCTTCTGGATTGGTTCAAAATAACAAGGCTACGGATTTGAACATTAGTTGTCGTAAACCCAACATTGGGTCGGCTGTTCAACGGCGGATGTAAAATAAAAATGAAATTTAAGGCAAATACTTTACAATAGGTAATATTTGGAAAAACCTACCTCACCACCAAGGTAAAATAAAATTCAAATAAACAAAGAGTTAAATTCTTTTCACAAATCAACATAAATCTCTAAAATATTTTAAAATAACAACAACAACAACAAATGGCTCAGTAATGGATTAAATGATTATCACTACTTTTTTTTTCTCTATACATCCCCACACTCTGAATAATGTTTTATTTTATCCACCTATTTTCAAACAGATAAAGAAATTATACCAAACCAAACAGATATACAAACAGATAAAGAAATTATATATTTTTTACTATAGTTGTATTTTCAAACATTTGTCAATTAAGTGTTGGACAATAATGAACTATTCTTTGAAGTCATTTGAATACTTTATTCAGCGATTGATCGCGCACAACGTTCGTACACGATTTTCAGTTTCAAACTAATAGTTCGTTAATGATCATTTGCCCCAGGCTGACAGCTACTGCGTTAAGTACAGCCTGAGCAAAAATTAGGCTGTGTTTATCACATCGAAAGTAAGCTTATGCTAGTGACTTCATCTGTACCAATTATTAGTTTTATTATTCAAATTTTACGCAGATATAAATTGTCAAATAAAACTTTTAACCAATGGATATAAATTACTATAATTGATTTGCATACATCCAAAATTTTAACTTTTAAATTGTGTGGCTTATAAATATATTCAATCTTTAATAATAAAGGGAAGAATTAGTACGCGTGTTTTTCTCTCATAATTCTGAGGTTCCTAATATTCGGATGGCGTATTCAAGACGTAATTTTTTAATTCTAAAACCTGCACAAAATATTCAATTTGTCTATGTCTATTTGTCACGTCGACAACACATGTTTGTTTATGCTAAATGCTGATTAATTGAAATGATATAAAGCAAAAGTTAATATTAAAAAAGATAAAAAGCAATAAAATTTGTAACATTGTCACTTTCAGTTAAAATTCTAAAAATAAAATATGTTAATCAGTATGTAAAGAGAAAATTTGAAAGTTACTTTTGCGCCTTAAAATTTTCCTTTTAAAAATTTCTTCTAAAGTATTCAGTATTATCAAACAACTATAGATGGAAGTGTAATGTGACCAATGAGTGAAAAAGCTATTCAAGAGGTTCACTTTTGCCCAATGTCCACTCTAGCCCCCCTCCCCCTTATGCCATTCGGTTTTTTGCGTGATGGACTAAGAGTTAATTCGTATAGATTCATTGATTAGTCTCGATTTTTACCCGATACGAAGAAAGGGTATGCTGTTGTAGGCCATTAAGAGAAGGGGTGCGATTGCACCATCTATGGAGGAGAATTCGACTTCTGCCAACCCATACTTCACAACCGTTTATAGTGCGGACCCATTCATACATTCATCCACAGATCGTAATTCTGGCCTGAACCAGAGAACGACGAATCTCCAATCCCCTAGAGGTAAAAATTGTTACGGGAACATGGAGGACTTTGTGACCCGATAGATTAATCGCGCACCAGTCACCATTCACTATAAGGGAGTCTTCGTCCGGCTGGACTCGAAATACTGTTCTCATAAACGTGAGTCCAGCACCAGGATATCCCGGCGGCCAAAAGAAATGGTATAAAACAAGGATTTTTACATAAAGTCATTTATGCTTTCTTGATTATTTATTTATTCTGACAGAATATGACTAACTGAAACGGACGCTTAGGTTAGAACAAGTTTGGTAACCATTTTATGTGGTTATCAGTAAATAAATAAAAATTTCAAATTGCAAGAATAATTTTTGATTACATTAATCTCTGGCTTATGGGCATATTATGGCATATTAATCTCTGGCTTAAGACATAAAAATGATTTTACTTCCACCCTGTTACCTTAGGAAGAATTATCTTTCCAGAATTTATTTATTTATTTAATTATTTATTTAGCAATTTATTTACAATTCTAAATAATCTTTATTACCTTACGTGTGTCAGGGTGGCCGAGAGGTTGGAGTCGTCGTCTTGGAGAGACAGAGATGCCGAGTTCGATCCTGAGAACTCCAAGAAAATTTAAAACTCTAAAATAAAATTTTATTTATTATTTCTGCATCTTCTAGAAGTTTCTAGAATGTTCTAATTCATCATTTTCTGTCCCGTTATTATTCCTATAAAAGACCAGGTGTTTCAAGCCGAGACGCCAGTTGCTTTGTTCCCTGTACTTGGAAGGTGTTCAATAAATCTCTTCAACTTTCTGAGCTAATTCATATTTATTTCAGGTGACATTATTTGGTGATGGAGCTGTGCACTCGAAGCAGATCTGGCGGGTAATTTAAGAAGGAGTCACCGCTTGAGAGGATTGAAACCAGAATATCCAAAAATGGCCAAAACACCTGTCACTACACCGATTATCCAGGACATTCGTAATCCATCTTCTTTTTCTGGAGAATCCAACCAAGATCCTGGAGTTTGGTTAAGAGAATATGATTGTGTCGCCAAATATAACAGTTGAGACAACGACTTCAACCTCTCGGACACGTTGACACACGTCAATATGCTCTGATGAATTTAGCTACCGAATTTTAAGTATTAAGATTGCTTTTTTTAAAAAAACTTTTTCATAGCTTAAATTTTTTCTATCCTCGAATTTAATAAATGTTTCCGAATCTCGGTAGTTTGTAAATTGGTTCAATGGACCACATTTCAATGAATAAAATGAAACAAAAATTATTTAAAAATATTTTTAGTTAATGAAAGAACAAGAAAATTCCGGACATGCAATTATCTGTAAGTTGACATGAAAGAAGCAACTAGTTTAAACTGTGCAATTTTTTTTATTAGCTTGGGTATTTATTTTTATTTTACTGTTTTAAACATTTCTTTTTACAGTGTATCTTTGTTTTACGTACTGAAAAGTGGAAAATTATCTTTCCAACATCTTATTCAGGACGACATTAACTGAAACACAAGTTAAGGAAAAAATTGAATGAATAAATATGAATTTTACGAAGACTATTAATTAAAATACATAATTCTTTGAAGGTATTTTTTTAATTATCGTACTTTATCAGTACAAAAAAAAGAGTAAAAATGTACAAGGTACTTAACCCTTTGATGCATGTGGGATACCCGTGTAGCTTTTATATATTTTTTTCTAACTCTCTAATTGCAAGCATAAATATATATTGGTATTTTTTAATCATAAAAAGTCATAGTTACTGAAAAAACTACCAGATTATTGGAATTATATTTGTACTAAAATATAGAATCTACACACAAAAGAAAATAGTTTGAATTTTTTTTTATTCACATTCAAAAATTAATCTAAAGTTGTTTTCGCAAGTTAAAAAATTTCAATGTTAAATTACTGTCTTAGATCTAAATAACTGCAAATAAGTTCAAATTTGAAAAAGTATTGTGTGAATGTGAGCCGTCTTTGGACGATTTTACCTTCTACCCATAAGAAGACGCCTGTATCCTCCTGTATTTCATAACCATAAATTATAATATTAATATTTTATGCTGAATAAAATATTTTTCATTTAATTTGAACTAAACTTGTACAAAATATTGAGAAAAAACCAGGGTTAAAACCTGTGAAATGCATGAAACAAAACTAAACTATTGCTTAGTAATCTGTCGTGAAATTGGAAAATCAATGCAAGCAAAAAAAATTCAAAATTTAGACGCTTATATGACTTTTTAGGAAAGCTATTTATTCAAAAAAAAGAAAAAATTCTCAAAAATAAATTTTATTTTATTATTTCTTTAAAATTCTATTTCAGCATTCATAGCAGTAGCAATTGAAAAAAATTGGTTTGCAAGACACTTTTTTTTCGAAATTTATCGTGGAGCACTTACGCTGTTTTATCAATTGCACTGCATTTAGTATGAATTATTAGTATGAATTGACAATTAAGTATGAATTAACAATTTTGTGCCAAGAAAAAAAAACGCTGGGTAAATTAAACATAAAAAAACGTGGGACTCATAACATTCTTTTCAAAATCACGAAAAAAAACCTTGCGCCTCTTCAATAGTTTTAAATTTACATGGGTCCTGTTCTCATAAAAAAAAAACATATTTTCCATTAAACAATAGTATGCATTAAGATAAATTTAATAAATTTAATTTCGTTTTAAATCGTAGAGAATACTATGGAAATTTTTAATTAAGTTTTCTTTCATAATTTGTATAGTTAAGAAATACTTCAGAGTTAATTCTATCCAGAAACCATTTAAATAAATATACCTGTTGCAAATGGAATGTTAGCAATTTATGTTCGGCTTACTAATAGCCAGTCTTGAGAGAAACGTACTTTGTGAATGAGAGATACATTGCAATTTCGAATGAGCTTGTATTTTAACACTTAATGGATGAAGCATTAAAGATAAGACAGGTACTTAAACAGGACAAACTGTTACTGAAATCCCTTATGATAACTATAATTGTCCGTGTGAATTATGACTATATCTATTATGTATATCTACTAGACGTTAGATTACAAACGTAACGCTGCTGTTATAATTATTGAGACTTTATTGGTATTACTGTATAAAAGGATACATTATCAGAATCACGAAACTCATAAAACTGTTAAAGTGTTAACAAAACAAATAGGTTACTATATTAACAAAACAACAAAACAAATAGGTTACTTTATTCAATTTTGAAACATTTTAACGAATAATTTTGCAATTAAAGCTGTTTTAATAGAGTCAGAAAAATTAATTAAAATTTTAGAAGCTTCAAAAAAAATTGCTTTTATTTAACAGTGTATAAATCAT